GTTGAATTGGAGCTTTTAATGATTTATTTGAACTGTTGTTTTTCCAGGGTGGAAGGATTGTGCAGCAAACATCTTTAATTACCAAAAACAAAAAACTGGGTGCACAAGTTTGAATTTATTTGGGATTTTCTGTAATCCTGTGTGTTCACTTGTGTTGTCAATGATCCCAATTACATATCAAAACTGGTTTAGGAATGGATAGAGCAGGCTAACCTGGAATGGCCTTCCCAAAGCTCTGACATCAACCCTGTAGAAAATGTACTGATTAGGCTTAAAAGCAGAGTCTGTGCCAGGAAACCAACTAATTTAAATGAATTCTGTCAAGACGAGTGGTCAGATATCCAACCACAATTATGCCAGATGCTTGTTGATGGGTACCAAAGGGGTCTAATCGAGGTGCAACTTGCTCAGGGACATTTAACCAAATATAAGTGGCGGAATATACTCTTGACCTTGTGTGTATTAGAGAAAATCTAAAATAAATCCAAACTCGTTTACCCAATTCTTCTTTTTTACAGCCACTTAAGATGTATGCTGTTAAATCATTCAACTATGAAAAGAGAGTGTATGTAAAATTCTCACCACATCTACATATATGTAGCTGTATGTATTGCTTATGTTTACAATTTTTACTTTTGACTGTTACAGCTTCCTGTCTTTATAGTAAAGAACAGAAAAGGTCGACACAATGTCTGTGGCGGTGGAAACTACAATGCCGAGGGTGGCTCTCCCTCTTCCAACCCACTTCTCCCACGCGGAGCAGTCCTTCTCTCTCAAAAAGCGCCGGCTGCCTTTTTCCTCGTCGTCTACGTCAAACTCATCCTACTATTCCCCTGCTCGTCTCTCAAATTCTTTGCCTCCGCTGCCACCGTCTAAAGGATGCCCCCCGCTGAGCAGAATGTTTCCTCAGCATCAATCCCCCTGGACACCCCTGTCTAATTCCCTCAGTAAATCTCCAAATTCTGCGTATGATCCCAGCAAACAGCAGTCCTACTTCAATCAGTGCTTTACTAACTTGGGCCTGCTGGGGAGGGGATCATTTGGAGAAGTTTACAAGGTGAGCAAAACACAGATTTAAATAAAGAGGGCTATATAATAACATAATATATTTGGTGTTGCTGTTTCTTCACATCAAGGAAACTGGAAAATTCAGGATTTTAAGTATTTGTTTGTTTATTTTTCCAAAAGTTGTAATTTCTGGATATTTTCTTTTCTCTCTCCAGGTGCAAAGCAACAGAGATGGTCGTCAGTACGCAGTCAAACGCTCTGCTCAGCGCTTCAGGGGTAACAGTGAGAGGAATCGGAGCGTCAGGGAAGCCAGGAATCACGAGCACCTGTGTCCTCACCCTCATATTTTGAACTTCGTGGCTGCCTGGGAGGAGTGCGGCCGACTCTACATCCAGACAGAGCTGTGCAGCACCAGCTTGCTGCATCACGCTGAGAACCAGCCTCCTGGCCCAGGTCTGCCCAAAAACAGTTTGTATCAGCTGTGATTTTGTATAAAACTTCTACATCCTCGTTCATGCTGACTTGTGTTTTTTGCTTGTAAACAGACGAGCCTGCTGCTTGGGCCTACCTGTGCGATCTCCTCTCAGCACTGCAGCACTTACACTCTCATGGCTTCGTGCATCTGGACCTCAAGCCCGCCAACGTCCTCATCACCGCCTCTGGTCGTCTGAAGCTGGGCGATTTCGGGCTGCTGCTTGAGCTCAAACAGATGGGAGCTGCAGGGGAGAAATCAAAGGACGATGTTCAGGAGGGTGATCCCAGATACATGGCCCCCGAGCTGCTGCGTGGGGAGTATGGACCTGCTGCAGATGTTTTCAGGTACATATGTGATTCATTATGTACAGATGTGACTGATCTGATTTGAAATAAGTGTCTAAATATTATCGCATCCTTTTTTATTTAGTTTGGGGGTTTCCATACTGGAGCTTGCTTGTAATATCGAGGTTCCAAATGGTGGCGAGGGGTGGCAGCAGCTCAGGCGAGGCTGTCTCCCCACAGAGTTTACCAACGGTGAGATCTGCTCTAGGAGGCCTCATCAATTTCCTCATCTGATATAATGATTTTTCTTTTAAACTTCCATGTGTGATTGCAGGCCTGTCAGAGGAGCTTCAGACAGTCCTACAGATGATGCTGGCCCCAGAGCCGTCTGAGAGACCCACAGTCTCTGAGCTTCTTGCCCTCCCCTCTGTTAGGAAATGCAGGTGGAGGAGACGCATGTATCTTATGGCTGCTGAGACGATGCTGACACTGGCCTCCCTGTGTCAGGTAACAGAATCACTAAATCCTTTAAATATTAATCTTTTAGGATTGATTATTTTGATTAACAGTTTAGTAAAATGTCCTTGTAAGGATGCCACAGCATTAAAAATAGAATAACTTTATTGTCCACATAATGGGCAGCTGTTTTCGGTTCACCAAGCCACAAATCAACCAATCAGTTCATGAATCCTGGGAGATATCGGCCCACATTCATAGATATGCATATCTATAAATTCAATACAACTATAGAAATACACCACAGCATCTTATTATTTAGCATGCTGATTGCATTTGGTACAAATGATCCCTTATACCCCTTTAGCTAGAGGGATCCTATAAAGTTGTCCTGAGAACATTAATTCAAAGTCAGAATAATGGGGGTGTTCACGGTCAGCAACAATAGACCGAGCTTTCCTGAAGATGGTCTGATGACACAGCTTAGCCAATAAAGTTTGTTGTCAACCAATCATTTTTCCAGAAATTCTGACAATCCTGTTTATTTTGCTATTGTGTTCCTGTTTGCCACAGTCAGGCTACCAAACCAGGCTGAGATACTGAACGTAAAATCAAGCTGACAAACTCTTTCCAAAACGTTGTGCCTAACTCCGAAACCTCTTGACGTCCTGATAACAATGAATCTCTGATTAGCTTCCTTGTAAATGGATAAAGCATTAATCATAAAGTTGATCTTGCCATCAATATATATAAAGTGGAAAACCTGTCCATCGGGTCTGTGTTATTCAAGTGAAACACGTGTTGTGGACATTAATCAACAAATAACAAGATTTAAACCTCTCTTTCAACCTATGAACCTGAACAAAATAGTTAGAGTTCCTATAAAAACAAAAGACAATCATCAGCATATTTTAACATTTTCACATTCCCTGCATGTCATTTAAACAGAAAATAACAATAGTGATCGAACACACCCTTGAGGATCCCCCGTACTAACAATGGTTTCACCAAATAAAACATGATTAATACAAAGCTTTTCAGATGATCAGTTAGAAAATCTCTAATCCAGTGAATCAGTCCTGAAGTTAATTTAGCCTGGCCAATTCCAAACTTCAGCCTTTAAAGTTTACTTTCCTCAACCTTGACAAATACATTTTTCTATATTTTCTTTTCTTCATAGATCGTAGTCTCCTTTGGGTGTAGATTCCTCTCCTTCTTTCGCTTGCCCTTCCTCCCTCATTGGAACAATCCAGCTCCCTGCACTCCTCCTAAAGACAGTTGGGACAGGGATTTAACCCTGCCTCTCAGTGCCATGCATACTGACTCCGGGACCCCAGAAGAGGATGCAGTGTTTTTTCATCCCACAGACCCAGAACTGTCCCCCACCTTCTCACAAAGGTAGAGAATTATCGCATCAATAGGATGGAAGAAAATTTTTAAGTGAGTATATTTGTTCTGTTTAACTCTCCTTTTTTATCTTCCTTTGTTTTCATGTCACAGGGTAAAATCCAGATTGTCTGTAGAGAGCACATCCACGCCTCTCCCGGGCTCGCCAATGCGCTATCACCAGAGTCCTGCCCACACACCCACTCACTCAAATCTTAGTGGCTGGTTCTCATGTAAACTTGCTCAGACCCCTTCCAGCATCCACACTAATGGCTCCTGCCGCACACTGACACCTAAAGTGAGTCCCATACATGCCGAGCTGGACGCAGACTCCTTCCAGAGCTTACACTCTCCATCCACCAAGTCCTCACAGCGGCGTGGGCGCAACTGGGTCCAAGTGGAGGAGGTCGTACCTCCTCGACCCAGCTTGGAACCAAAGAACCTGCTCAGCTTGTTCGAAGAAACGGCTCTGGAGGGGGAACGATGAACACAACACTGCCTTTATCTCATTCATGAGTTTTTGTGCGAAAAATGTAATGTGACAAAGACCTAATGTATTAATGTAATAAGTTTACTAGCTTGTAAATATTTTTTTTTTGCCATTTTGTAACAGCTTCTTTTAATGTGCATTTGAAACAAAAAATGAATTTAGGGGAAAAGGGTTGGATGTGTACTCAGACCTTAGAACACTTTTCTTTTCTTTTTTTGATTTGTGCCAGTGTAATCAGTTGCTGAAACGACTTGTGACTGTGACTCTGCGTTGTTTACCTCGTGAGATACAAAACAAAGCTAGCAGAGTTTGAACTTGTGGAGCATGTTGTGACTATAAAGCACCTCAAAATACGACATGACTGGTGTTTCTTTGTTCTCTAGACTTGTGCACATTACAGTTTGATATAACAGGCTATCATTTGAGAGTAGTCATCTGTTCTCTGATTGGATAGTTAAATTTGTGATTGACAAGACATTGACCAATCAGCTGAAAGGAAGAAAACTCGGGTCAAAACTCGTACTTGTAAGTTGAAACTTGAGTGCAGTTTCACACGTATTTTTTATATATATATTTTTTGCTTTGTATCTGTAACCAGACCTTAACAAAAACAACTTGTAACTTGTGTAAATATTTTTACACACACAAATCTTTTTCTTACGCACACACAAATTCTTATCTGCAGATGCACAAATATATATACGCATTCTGATTTACAAGTACAAAATATTTATGACCACAATTTGAGCCCATAGGACAGTCAACAGAAACACATTTTTCATAGTGCATGTTTGAGGTACAGTATATTTGAATTTTAGTAAACGCAGTACAGCTTTGTGGTGTTATGTTTTGAGCCCTTACCAGTAGGTGGCAGCAACGGGCCTCAGGAACGCTTCAAACCCATGAAGAGGACGCTGCCGCTTTATTGCTATCGCGCTGTTTATTAAACCGTTTTAACACCTGACCCGGTTTACAGCAGGAAAAGCTTCACACAAAGATGTTCGGCGGACGCACTGGCTGCCATTTTTAATCTACCTGCAGGAATCATTTTAAAGGGAAACGATTACCTGCATGAGTGTTAATATTTTAAACAATTCACGATTGCAGTTTGAGCGGCTGTTGAGACTGCGCATGCTTCATGGGATCGCATTAAACTCAAGGTATGTGAGCATTCGGCTTGTTAATAACTGGTAGTAAAAATGCACTCCCGTTTTTTCTGCTTTCCTCTTAAATAATACATTCTGCTATTTTTTTTTGTTGTTGTTCTTTGTTGCATAAATATCCAATCGCCATTATTTCTTTCATTTATCTAAGTGGAAATGTGCAGAACACATGTTGCATCCTGCAAAAGTCTGTTAAATATGCTCCTTAATTTTTTGTCTTCTTAGTCCTTAAAGATGGCCAAAATTGAGCGCCTTAATGTTCGAGTGGAAAAGCTCCTGTCTAAAGTAGTACAGGAGGTTCTGGATGTGGTGAAAGAAACTGTGTGCGAGTATCAGGAGAAAACTGCCAGAACCCAGAGAGAGAATCAGAGTCTGAAGAGGAGACTGCAGGAGCTGCAAGACAGAATTAACCTGGAGAGCAATGGTAAGAAAACAAAGGATCCAGCTGTGAGTACAAGTGGTGAAACAGCTGGATTTAAACTTTTTTAAAGTAGTTTAATGTGTGTCTTCCTGCAGGATTTGTGCCAGAAATGTTTGCATCCATCCCAGCAGACATGAAAGAGAAAGAAGAGGTGGTCATCCCTGTTGATAAAGACACTGAGTCATTAGGTGCTTCCTGCTTTTCCCCTGACCGTGCAACAGAAAGCCTGGGAAATCTGAAAACAAAGACACATGATGGACAGTCAGCCTCACTATTAAACCACGAAAGACCCTTCATTGCACCTCTGCATTCTGAAAATGACCAGAAAACGAAAGTAGAGCCTGCATCAGATAACGATGGCTTGCGTATTGTGAATTATTTTTATTGCGATCCATCAACGAGCACTGCAGGACTCGGAGGTGAGTCTGCAGTTTTCTACATTGATTCAGAACGTGACGTACAGGAGCCAGCGAGACACATCAGTGCAAACGATGCCGGAGAAGAAAACCAAACCAACACAGAAGTGGGCTGCTCGTCCTCAGCAGAGAAACTGCAGAGAAACGTCCGAAAACACTACAGCTGCTCTCTCTGCGGTCGCACCTTCAGGCATGCAGGTGACTATAAGAAACACAACCGGGTGCACACAGGGGAGAGGCCGTACTGTTGCTCGGTGTGCGGCAAGCGCTTCAGCCAGTCGGGGTACCTCACAGTACACCTGCGCTACCACACAGGAGAGAAGCCGTTTGCCTGCAGCCAGTGCGGGAAAAGCTTCAGTCACTCAAGTAACTTAAAGAAGCACCAGCAGACTCATCTGTGAAGGCTGGTGGGTTTTTCGAGGTCAGCTAAAAACATATAAAGAGGTTAATGTGCCTTCTTCACAGAATAGACTGCCTCTTAGGGAGCACTTGTGTTTTCCTGAGCTGCTGTTGTTGGTCAGATTTTGTTTGTTCCATTACTAGATTTTGAAGCATGGAGTCTGTAGTGTGTTTCTGTATTGTGATCTCCAAATAAAATAATTAGCTGATCAAATTCTTTTGGTCCTTCTGTGTGGTCCATTGCAATATTTGAGACGGGTGCACAATTTCTTTTGAATCAGTCTCAAAACCAAAATTGTATTGTTCTGAATCATCAGACTTAAAGGCACCTACTGGAAGCCACAGCTCATTTCTAAAATATATCCACCAATTGGGATCTCTTCTACTTATTCAGTTCAGGGTCACTTATTTAATTTGATTACTCTGTGATGTTGTAACATATTTCTTTAGCAGGTATGGGTTATTAATGTTACCAAAGACCCAGATGGGAAACTGAGACTGTTTTGGAGGACCTCAGCAATAGGATGAACTCAGTTCTCTTCAAAAAATAATTTGATCTCTTTATAATGTGCCACTGTTAGGAGTAGATTACAATTAGGGTCCTAATTTTGGCTTCTTGTAATAATTCTTGAGGTGCAGAGACAGTATTCATGCTTTTGTTGTGACTTCAGATATAGATATGTGATATTTTATTTATTGGCTCTGTCATGTCACAAAACAATTAAGGGTTCAGGATGGCCTAATATAACAAAATAATTCACAATATCACAATTTATTGTATGATAAGAAGAAGACAGAAGCGTTTCACTCGGACTTTTATTTTGAAAACAACCCCTCTGCACACGTGATCAGAGTTCTGCTTCCGGATGTTAAAGATTGTTTTTGCTGTTCGTGGATCTGCTTTGTTACATGTTGTCAGTTTTTTTTTTTTTAAATAAATTATCTTTACAAGTTTGATAGGATAAATTACTTGTCATTAAAATTGATTTATTTATGTATATTTTTGCTAACACGATAGCCTTATGACCAAGTGTTTGGACCTCTGGGATGTTTAAACGGAAAACATTGACATACGAAGCTAACTTCGGGACTAGCTTACAGGTACTCCTGGAGATTTAAAAATATTCTCGTATCTAAAACTGATATTAGTAACAGTTACAAGATAACACTGCCACGTATTTCAGGTTCTAGAAGATGAGTAACCATCATTTTACCTGTTTACAATGTTTTAAATCTCGGACCAAAATAAGGTGAATGTAGCTGAATGGAAGTGTAGTAGGAAATCATTGGATTGCGTTGCATGACGGTTTAATAACAGGACAGGTAATCACTGGTTTCTGAAAGAACAGGTGGCTCTAATTCGTTGTTTGAAGTAACAGGTAACTGCACCCGTCAGTGCTGTCATATACAATCACTGGACACTTTATTAGGTACACCTTGTTTGCACCGGGTTGGACCCCCTTTTGCCTTCAAAACTGCCTTAATTCTTCATAGCATAGATTTTATTACCGGGTAGGCTGTGGTGTTTAAATTATGCTTGGTTGGTATTAAGGAGGTCAAAAAAATATTCCCCACAATGAGCAGTTAAGCAGGTGTACCTAACTAGGTGGTTGATGAGTGTAATCACCTAGCGGTAGCATCAACGGTATTGCTTATCATACATTTCTCCTTAATGAATATATAAAAACAGATGTGTTCTCATAAGTGGTGTTTCATTTCAGGATGTCTAAACTTGAGCGTTTGAACGCCCGGGTGGCCAGACTCCTGACCGAAGCCGTGCAGGAGGTTCTGGAGGTGGTGAAGGAGACGGTGTCAGAGTACCAGGAGAAAACAGCCAGGACACAGAGAGAGAACGAGAGTCTGAAGAGGAGACTGCAGGAGCTCCAGGACAAGATACCAAAAGAAAGCACCCATGAGAACACATATAATTTTTGTGAGGAATTTATTATTACAGATAATGTAACATTTTTGTTCTGCTTAAGGTCTCTTATTCATGATTGCAAATTTCACAGCTGTCCTGACTACAAGTGGGCCATCAGCAGAGGAGTGCGACACAACAGCAAAGCAGGATCGGCGCATCATTCAGAAGCATGACTCGGATGTTATTGCTCTCGCAGAGCAAAACAGCAACCAGCTCAACTATGTCTTGAAGCAGGAGACTAAAGAAAAAGAGAGCCACAGCGGTATTCAGACACAAGCTGAGTCCAAGTTGGCGCAAATGTCCACAGACCACCACAAAGTACAGCTGGCAGATGCAACGCACAACTTAGAGGGGCAGCGTATGCCGTCTGAAACCAGGGACGCCGGCGCAGACCCTTACTCCAGCGCACTGTTTGGGTTAAACATGGCTGCTATCAAAAGTGAATCAGAGCCCACAGACTGCATGTCATCACAACAACCATGTCTTCAATCTCAGTACACCGGCTGCATGGATTTAAGCTGCAACTCCTCTCGTCACACCTCTACCGAGACCCTCAGGCCGCAAGCTAGCGCCGAGCCTTATGGACTCGTTTTTGTTCGTTCAAATCACATGGCACACAGGAGGCATGGATTAGCAAAGAACATCAGGGCCGGTTTGGACGGCAGACAGATCAGGATGGAGCACCTCAGGAGAGACGGCTTCCACTTGTGCGTGGTCTGTGGAAAGACGTTCAGCAGGGTGGGGAACCTGAGAATCCACCAGCGCTGCCACACAGGAGAGAAGCCGTACGGCTGCGTCCAGTGTGGAAGGCGCTTCAGTCAGGCGGGAGACCTGAAAAAACACAAAAGGGTCCACACGGGTGAGAAGCCGTACTACTGCAGCCAGTGTGGAAAGAGCTTCAGTCGAGGGGAGAACCTCAAAAGACACCAGAGGATCCACATCGGAGAGACGCTGCAGTTGCAGCAAGCGTGTCAGGAGCAGCGGTAGTGATTACAGCACTGAGTCGAGTGCACATCAATAAAATCAGCAGAGTTTTTTGTTTCTTTTTTAGAGATTTTTAAAGGTTGATTTTTGACCTGTGATCCTAGTTTTAGAAACAGTTGCAGTGTATTTAAATTGTTGCTAACTGGAGCTGTTGGAAGGCTCCTTTGTTTGTCACGCTAAGCATGGAGAAGCCAGGCGTCTGTTTTTTACCCTCTTAACCAAATAGGGGAAGTCTTAAAAAAATGCATACTCTCTATATCTGATATATCTGGTATATCATATCCGTGCAGTGTTACTTTGGTGACACAACTCAACCGAGTGTTGAAATTGTAATAACAGACGGCAGCAGATGGGCTTCCATGCATTGTTGTAACTTGCAAGAATATATATGTCAGTGCTCAAGAGAAGGATCTTAAACAGGAAGCTTCTGTCACCTTTCAGCTAATTACATTCTCAAGGTGCTACACAGGACATATAAATAAACACCGGGCATCAGTGTGGTTTACACAGGGTGTATCAAAAGAGTCATCCAATTTGGAAAGGCTGTATTTTTAAAGAAACAGTGTTTCAGTCATTACAGGTGAACGACTGAACAGTTAAAGCACTTTGACAACAGATTATTCCTTTTGATACACCCTGTGTAATGAATAAAGCTAGAAATGTAAAAAGAAAGGCACAAAAGCATGCAGGTTTATATATAAATGTGCGCTTTTCATTTAGATCGAGAGATGTTAAGATTTTATTGGAGCTACATTTGAAACAGCTTGTAAAGAAACTAGAGTCTGTAAATCTTCAGCGATACATTTGTATGGCCTGTGAAATCTAATCGAACTTATGTATGCTAAAAATGTGTTTATATGTATGTCTTGTGAAGCTCCGAGGGAATGTAACTTCTAAAAGTTGGGTTGTGCCCAAATGTTTCATAAACACTGCTGCTTCATTTGAAAAAATTCGATTATTTGCATTTTTTTACATGTTTCTATGATATTATGAAGAACAATAATAAGCATTTTATAAGATTCATATAGATGACCCCTCCCTGAACCTGGTTCTGCCGGCGGTTTCTTCCTGCTAAAAGGAAGTCTTTCCTCTCACCAAGTGCTTGCTCATAGGGGATTGTTATTGATGGACTTTGCTCCATCATGCTGGAAAATTGCCACCAGATTGCTCTTGGATCACGGGAAGAAGTTGGGCTTGGAGGACATTTGTAGGATAGTCAAAGAAATAATAATAATAATGATAATGGATTGCATTTATATAGCGCTTTTCGAGACCCTCAAAGCGCTTTACAGTTCCTCTATTCATTCAGTCTGACATTCACACACTGGTGGAGGCAGCTACAGTTGTAGCCACAGCTGCCCTGGAGGAGACTGACAGAAGCGAGGCTGCCATATCGCACCATCGGCCCCTCTGGCCATCACCAGTAGGCGGTAGGTGAAGTGTCTTGCCCAAGGACACAACAACTGAGACTTGTCCATGAGTGGACAAGCAGAAGCCCAAAAGCTTTGATCGGCTTGAGAGCTCTGATCATGCAGATCTCAAAAGCTGATATCCTGCATGCCACAAAGAATTGCAGAAGTTATGAAGAAGATGATGAAATGCTTGTGATTGTGCTTCTGTGCCATGGAAACATGCAGGGGTTAAAGTTTCATTCCCACGTCTTCGGTTAATGAGTAATGAATGTGCTGCAGTCTGGCGTCCTTCCAGCTGATGCCATGGAGATACTTACTTAGGAAGAGTACTGTAGCATAAATGGAGTAACTGTGTTTAAAGTGGCAGGTAATTTCAAAGAACTCAGCAATAAACACACAAACTGTCTGTGCAGCTTGGCTATGCAAGCTAAAGATACAGCTGCTATTTTTCAGAGAGAGAAAAGTGAATCTGTAATAAGATCACTCAGAGATGGAGAAAAATAATAAGAGGATGACGAGGTTATTTTCAAAAGCTATAAACTCAGAGAGCGACAGTTGACAAGCTAGAAATGTAAAGTTTTACATGTATTGTTACGTTAATGGTTCTTGTTCTGTTTTTGGTTTTTTTATCAGAAGCTAGATCTGTGCAGGATGTTTTGCTGTAGCTGAACGGTTATTTCAAGTTGTGAAACTTGAATTGGAATCATTTTGTGTTATGTAAATGGTATGAAAATACTACACAGTTCAGTGCAGGCTAAACTGCTATGTTAGCAGTGTTTACATCCAGTGTACAGTACTGTGCTGTGTTGTGCTGCTGTAGAGCAGGCTGTGGTATTCGTGGCCACTTAAATTAGGTGAAGCAGTGGTGGAGATGGGTAACCAGGTGAAATAGATGATATAAAACTCAGGTAAATTTACTTTGCTGATGCTTTTGCACTGATGAAATTCACCTTTATTTAAGTGAAATTTAACATAGTTTGATTTTTTTTTAAAAATGTAATTCAGAAGTTTAAAAACCACCAAGGTGGATCGAGGCTGATGATGCTGTTTAGCTTAAATTCTACCTTTCATATTGCCTTTATACTGGCCAGGTGTTGAAATAACCGCTTCATAGGTCATGTTAAAATCACAAAAAACAGTTACTCTATCAGCTGACAGCCTGTACCCACAAAGAGAGAGGAACTCTAATGGTACTCACAATGAAAATTAATTTGTAACTTATTAGTAAGTGATTCATTAGCTCATGCTGCACTGCTTCAGTGGATCTTAGGGTTTTGCAGCCTGTAACCCATGGAAACGTGTAAGAAATAATCTAAATAAGAAATGAAGCAGCAAAGTGTTTAAAACACAGAGTTTTGGCTATACAAAAAGGAAATAAATATGTTCTTGCAAGTTAGATGGTGTGCAGGAGCCTCTTTGTCTCCTATGGTACCAGCATTACAAATGCTATATTGATGTGTCTTCTAGGTCTGACTCCGTTATAACAGTTTCCTGTGAAACGTTGGTTTGAAAAGGAGGTTAACTCGACGAGTTGACCTCTTTCGGTCACCTGCAGAATGTGTCGTCATTTCGGTAAATGTCAGAGAAACCTTTTAAAAATCTGAATTGCATGATTGTCATTAAAGCTACCCGACTTTCCAGACTGATTAAAGGCTTTCTGATGGTTGGACATATGTATTGCAAGTTAAACTTGGTTTGTGAAGCAAAGGCAATAAACTAATTTATTACCATTACCGATGGCTCAGTGAGTGACATTTTAAGCAAACTGTTCTTCAGCAGACTGGTCAGCAGCCACAAGTGTATTGTGTAAGTAATTATCACATTTGCACCCACTTGAGTTTTTGCACAGCATGTGTCAGCAGGGTTTTTCTGCTAAAAACAACAGTGACCACATAACCTAAAGCAATCTGCACATCAACATTGTTTTCTGAAGCGGCGGTTCACTCAGAAGCGTTTGAGAAACCACAGGTGCTGGCACAAGTGAGATTCAAATGCCACGAGAGAATATGCATTATGTTAACAGTACTGCAAAAAAGTCTTGAACCACCTCTCGTTTCTTTATGTTTTGCTTCCAAGCAGTCAGACTTTTTGTCATTTTTTAAATGGTCTTGAGTAAGAGTTCTCCAGGCTTTCTGGAGGTTTCTATTTGGACATTCGCTGCTTTTTCACTCCAGTCCAGTCTTTGTATTTGGACATTTTCACAGGAAATGTTTTCCTTTGTTTGTTAAGCCACTTAACACTGACCTATAAAGCGTAAAAATGTGCATAATTCAAGGGGTGAACCACACATAACAGACAACTTAGCAAAAAATCCGTTTTTAATTGTGTCTGTAGTTATTAGTGGCCTAAAAACATCATATTTTAACGGTATAAAATATTACCAAAGATAAAAGTTTAACAGGCATAAAATTGCATTTTTGTACCAGCCGGCTCATTCCCAAAGAGCTATTAGCCAAAACCCTGACATAACAGTGTAGTGTGCAGTGTGTCCTTAAACTGGACAAGTGGAGGAGAAATTAGGAAGTAGCAGACTTACAAAACTATCCACAGAAGATAAACAATATCTGAAAATGCTTTCCTTACATAAGAGGATTTATGGAGTGATGAATTAAAATGCTAAAGGTCAGGAGGGAGACACAACAGTGAGTCTTTACAGTCACTGAAACACGGTGGCGGCTCTGTCATGTCTGGAGCTGCATTTCCACAAATCACAACAACAGCTACCTCAAGCTGCATTATAATGTAAGGTAAAGGCCCTACAATAATATGGAGAAACCCCCAACAATCATATGATGGAATTATGGAAGCAGAAAACTACCATCAGATTTGATCCACCATAAAATTCCACGTGGGAAATATCAGCTTGATAACAGCTTCACTTTTAAGCATGACAATGATCCAAGCACACTGCTAACACAGTAGAAGCACCTGGATGGAAAAAACACAGTGGATTGGCCTCCCCGGAGCCTGGACCTCATTATTACTGGAGCAGTGTGGGGTCACCTTCACAGAGAATGTAACATCCAACATCCACAAAAGAGCTTTGACTGTGGATCAGGGGTGGCTCGAGACTTTTGCACAACACTATAATTTTGTTTATCGTTCATTGTGTGCATTTATGTTATCAGGTTTTCACCAATCAAGAAGACCATTTTCATTAATCAAGAAGGTCGATTTTTGATCCTCATTCGTATGAAATTTTAAAGTACTTTTAAATAAAAACAGCGTGAAGCAATGCAGGTTTTGTAAGAGGGCCCCTCTGCAAGACGAAACCGCTGAATTACACAACAGCAGTGCCAAACTTCAGCATTTGAATTGCTTTTAGCTGCATCAAAGGAGCCGATTTTACAAGTATGACACATTTACAACTGATTTGGGTAAACTGACAGGGTTTCTAGCCTAAGTGATAAAACCCGGGGACCAGCCCATTTATTTAAAGTGTTTACGTGTAGCTGCGCTCACCTTACCAGGAAGCGATTGATTGACTCGGACGCTCACAGAGGAACGGCTTCATTTTCCCATTTCACAGAGGTGAGTAAACAAGAACCATGTGGATATGAGAAACTCATCGGCCTCTCCGTTTCTCAACTTTTAGGCGTATTGCCAACGGAGACTGGTGTTGAGTAAGTTTGTGTTACTACAGGCGCGCGTAAACGCCTTACTTAAAAAAAAAACTCGTCTTATTCATGGCGATCGCCGTGTTTTCGGCTGAATACGAGCGAAACGCGACTGTATTTAAGTTTCTGTTGTAGAAAAGAAAGCAGTCATTCTTATTGTTGAGTATGAACGCCGAGATATGAATGCATTTCCTTGTTTAAAACGCGGAAAAAGGGCGCTTATTTGGCCGCTGGGCGACAATGGGTCATTAAAATATTGTTAACATAACTTCTCCATAATTATAAATAGTCACAGCAATAACATGAGGAAGTACATAAAGTCTTTCTTTTTCTTTCTTTCGATCTGTGGTGTGTGCGTGGCAGATTTTGCTCCGGGCACACTGAGATGTTGAAATGAAGATTGATGAAAAAGTCCTCACCTATTTTGAATCTTGCAACTCACCTGTGGATAAGGAAGGGTACCTGTACAAGAAGGTAAGACGCCCTGGCTCAGGTTTACAGGGAACCTGATTAACGTATTGTTTTGAAAAACAAACAGAAAGGGTAGTGAGGTTATCTAAAGTAAATAAACTCAGAGGGGATTTTTTTAAAACTGTTTTTAAGTTCAGCTTTCAAAATCTCTGTGACATTTCACCTCCCACTGGGTTGCCTGTTTCCTCAAATCAGTTATGTAAGAAATTGAGTACACAAGGCGTTTGTACAGCAGTCAGTAAAACACAACTGTCACACACACACACACAGGGTGAGATCAAGACTTCCTATCAGAAGCGCTGGTTCGTGCTGAAGGGGAACCTCCTCTTCTACAAAGACCGGCAGACCGACCGGGATCTGGTCGGAGTGATTGTTCTGGAGGGCTGCACCGTCCAGCTGTGCGAGTCCGAGGAGAACTTCGCCTTCTCGCTGGTGTGGAGCGAGCCGGGGCTGCGGACGTACAAGTTTGCCGCGGAGAACCAGGCCAGTCAGGAGAGCTGGATCAAAGCCCTGCTGTCAGCCAGCCACAGCTACCTGGCCCTGCTTGTAGTGGACATGGAGTCGAAGTACAGAGGTGAGGGCAGAAAGATGGAGCGGGTTTATCTTTGCTGGGGAGAGGGGGGGCTAAAGAGAGCAGCCTTTGTTCTGGAGGGCAGCTGCGAGAGGCGTTGCATCACTGTCTACATCAGACACCTGGTACACTGTGGTACATACTGTACACACGCACGCACGCACGCGCACACACACACGTACACGCACATATTATGATCTCGCAGCATCAGTCGCATCATTATGATCACTACTGATGTTTTATCTATTAACAGAGTAGTAATGAGAGCACAGTTCATTTCAACCAAGTTTTTATTGTTAATATTTGTTATTGATCGTTCTGCTTTTGTTCTAAAGATCGGTCATAAATTTCTCATAGCCACCACAAAATCGATCTCATGTCATATACAGACACGTCTCATTAAAACAAAGTTGAAATGCTCTCACAGATTTGGGGGCGTTTTGCTTAAAAACTGGCTAAAATGACGGTTAGTTTCACCTGTTAAGTAGTAATTGACTTAAGTGGTAATTAAGTTAATATCAGTCATTGAATCCGTTTATGGACCTGATGTCCTGACCATGAGGTGTGAGCATAAAGCTCTCGTAAAACAGAAAGCCTACTAGATTTATGTTTGGTGCTAGAGCGGGCGTCCAACTGGGAGGTTGATGGTTCGATCTCCAGCTCCTTTAGTCTGTACACTGAAGAATCCTCGGGCAAAATACATTTGTGTGTGTGTGTGTGTGTGTGTGAGTGTGAGAGAGAGGTACAGGACTAAAATAAAAACTAGATTTTTGAAAAGAAGTATAAGTAACTGAAATGATTTTGTGAATAAAAATGAAAATATAGAGGAAATATCCAGAGTTTCTGTGTGATAGAATTCTGTGACACACTTTGAGTCAACCACCACCTCTGACACGCGCCCTTCTTACAGCTATAATCAAAAAAAGACTAAAACTAAAACTGAAACTAATAAAAACTAAACTAAAACTAGACACAAAGATCAATTAAAGAGGTTTTACAAAAACAAAAAACTAAAGCTTTAGTTCAGGGGTGTTAAACAAACATAAGGCTCAGGGGCCAGAATCGGCCAGCCAAAGACTCCTACCTGGCCCACTATAGAGCTTTGGAAAATGTGAAGGACAACTTTAAATGTTAAACTTTTAACTGTATTTTTTTTTTTAAGTTTACAGCTTTTCCAAGTGATAAATACCTCCCCCACGGTCATTCCTGTAACACTACTGTCAATAAAGAAACAGATAAACAATGAAACAACATGGATTTCTTGGTTGTTGTTTTTTTGGTTTTTTTATTGTATGCTATAGACATTAATGGTTTTTACAGCAGGTTCACAGTAAAAAGAAAAAAAAAGACATTCTGTTATTTCCCCCAAATTTCCATTTTATAATTACAACACAGTCAGAGCTAATTTTACATATTTATTTCTTACAGTTTGAGCCTAAAGCAGCATTTCTTTTATCATGTAGAAAAACTGACAGAAAAAACTTGGATTAGCACCTGTTTGCTTAGCATGTACGACACAGTTCTTTATTTGTGTACATTTTCTGAGCATGTAGTGATCAGTAAGAGATTCTCAGTATTCCAGAGCCCACAGCCGGAATAGATCACCCACTGATTGTAGAGTTAAAGGTTAGATTAAAGCGTCATTGAGCAAGTGGATGGAGCTCTGCCGTACACATGCAGCATGAGCAGATTTTGTCTTTCTCTTCATGTGCATTCAGCTCCTTAATTTCTATATTTCACTGTGTTTTTTTCTTCAGATGCAGTTGGTGCACTCTCCAGTAAACCAAGCAAACCTTTTGTCATGCCAAATTTCAGCGCCATCCAGCCTGCTGCCGTCTTTGTGACCTCAAACACCTGCACCTCATCTGCGCTGGGAACAGCACCCAGCCCGAATTCCTGTCCAAACCTACAAGCTCTTACCATTTCATCCAAGACGGCCAGTAAGAAATCACCCAAACTGCGATCGAAGAAGAATGCCAACGCGGTGCCTATGTTTGATCCATTTCAGACGATTGGGGAGTACGACTTTAACCAGCTGCATGAAGATTATGGAAAGGAAGTAAAGGAACTGATTGTCATGTGGTCAAAGAAAGGACACGGCGGTGCGAATGTTCAGGAAGAAAACTTGATAGATTTTGAATGATAAAAGTTGGCTTTGTTTCTAACCCTTAACTTATAGAGAAGCTTTATCATGCATACGTGCACTGGATTAGAAATGTGTCGGTAATATATAGTTGACATAGTTATATTTGTTTTCTTCCAGAAACATGCTGTTTCTTTTTTACTTTTTCATAGATTAGTCAATAAATGATCTATGATCATCTGTTTTATTAACCTTTGTTTGTCACTGCAATGATGTTATTTCCTAAGTTGGCATTTTTATAAAGTCACACACCTGAAATATGACCTCCATCTGCTCCAGCTAGTCTACTGTCTCTATACTGGACATACTATGGCTAACCAGTTCAGGTGAAAACCTTCCTCTTAAGACATGGATGTCAAGCCTGTGTTACACTGTGGGCCACATACACCACATTTTGATTTTAAGGAGGCTGGATCAGTAAAACTGTTCTTTCTGTCCTTTAATGTTTAACTACACATTTACTAAAGAAATGCTGCTGTGGCAAATGAAAGAAATGTGTCCGCACGACTCTTTGGGATTAAACTGTAAGAAATAAATGTGTTCAATTACAGAAAGGATCATGGTAGCTTAAAACTAGACTGAAATTTTCTGTTAATTCACAGAAAATGTAAATTTCTTTTGTTGATTTTTTTTTACTGTGAACACATTGTAAAAACAGAGTTTTTCCTTCGCACAAAGCTTTCCAGTGGGCTGGATTTGAGTCTTTGGTAGGCCTTATGTTTGACACGTCTGTCTTAACATGCCCGAACAAATTTCACCGAGGACAGAGAATGAAAGAAACTGTGAAACGGTGATATAAAATTTGCTTATTAATAACAGCTTCATTACTTCAGAGCTGATAATACCTGGCGTGTTTATAAGAAATAAATCTGCCAGCCATTAAAAAGGCCTGAGTTAATCTGTAGCTGAAAGTTGGCCACATTTCCATTTTAAATCAGGAATTGTCCGATCGAGGAAACATTTCCCTTTGGGCTCTATTATTATTGATGACCTAATGAGTCCATTTTGCCTCACAGATTTAAACAATTTTACCAGTGACAGGGTAAAAAAGGACTGACAGTTGGCTGGGGGGCAACACAGGCCAAGAAGGGTGAAGTCCGCTAAATTTTAGAAGGGGGTCGAAATGGCTGAGAAACAGAATGGCAGGAGGGCAGCAGGGCTATTTCAGTCTGTACAGCTGTCTTGTCTTCGTGGTCTTTGCTCGGTCTTTCTCCTTCTGTGTCTGCATCGCTTCTTTTTTCAACCTTCGAGCCTACAGCTGAGCTGGCTGCTTATCGGCTTCACATACAACACATTTTTTGCCTCCTCCTTGCCAATCGGGCGCTTCGTTTTCCATCATTACAAAACATTGCAGATAATTTAGGTCATATTTTGCCACGTGAAACGCTACGTCCACGAGCCAGCTAAGACTCTGGATCGCTTCACGCCAGCGTGGGATACCAATACATACATACCTAAGCTGTACAGTTGTGTGATTGATGGCCAGCCAATGATACTCATATATGGGGTTTAGTGGGTGGGTCACTGTCCTCCTATCCTAAAGCAACTATACTGGGAACCTCGAGGAGGAACCCAAATTAGTGCACCCGTGGCGGTAAAGCTGGTCATTTAGTCCAATCATCATTTTGCCTGTTTCTTTTTTTTCTTTCTTACACTTGAATCAGTAAAACAGAAAATGATTCACTATCCTGGGTGTGAGCACCTGTTTTGTCTTTAGTCCCTGTAAAGGTGGCCTCTATGATCTATTTTGTTCCCCTCCCAGTCACACTTTCAATGTTATTCTTTCCACTGAGCATTTCCAGCTACTTGAGGCAGTATTAAAAGGACTGTTTGGATTTCTCACTGATGCACGGTCACTTTTTCCAGAGACCCAGTGGTCGTGTGTCATTGCTGGACCTGGACCAATGTCCGTCAGCCAACTGTTTTCAGGTTTCACAACTGTTTATACACCCTGATGGCCACTAATGATCTGGCCATGGCCACAAACCTCAGATCAAACCTATCATTTAGACAGGTGATGACTTCAGGAAATGTTAGCTGAGATATTGAGCAGCACTGGAGTATTAATTAATAGAAGGCAGCGGGCCGTGCTGATTGCGGGGTAACTGTCCCATCTGTGTCTGTATTAAAGCAGTAAAGCAGCGACACTTTGCCATCACGCACTGGGCTTTGAAGTCTCACAATAGATATATAAAGTTGACAGAAATAGCCACGACAAAGACTCAGTAAGTAAAATGGGGACGTTTCAGTTGTCCTTTACCGTGTCCCGTCTGTCCATATTAGTCCGCACATGACACCAAAGTCACTGTTGGCATTGAATTCACCTCATTCCAAGACTTCTGCGGCCTATTTTGGATCATCAGTAAACCGATCCCCCCAGCCACCTCCTCGCTCCTCCCTCTTTTTCTTACTATACCCCAGCTCTATTTTCCTGCCAAACCTGATGGTGTGGCTAAAGTTAGCCCCCTATGGGCTAGTATATAAGACCCCAGGCATTCAATACCTACATGTCAGTCACATCGGCTTGGTGTAGGCTTCTCTTCTTGACCAACAACAACCTCACAAACTTGAGAGATGGTGAGTGTGGCCACTTCATAGGGTTTAAAAAAAGTCTTTAGGATGTTGTCTACATTAAAATGATGAGATGGGCGTATCATTAAGATATTTGCTATCTGGACTACCAACATCCCAGGAAGTGAACTTGAAGGAGTGCCAGTGTCAGTGTTATCTGCTGACTTGAGCTAAAGTTCGGGAGGACCTATTCCTTATTATTTTAGTCCTCAACACATTACATAGATTCTAAATTGGGTGATTGTTTCAAAGTTTATAATTTTTTTTAAGAGGGGGAAAAATTCAGTCATTACCCCAAAGATAGATTCAACTGGCAAAACTGCCAATCCAAGCTTAATTTATCAGGAAGAAATTTGATTGATTGATTTTTCTTCATATGATGATTTTGAGAGTTAACCAGGATCTGCTTCTTTAGTTCATGTCATGTATGTATGGCTTTTCTTACACCTCACATCATATCACAGGCACCCAAGAAAGCCAAGAGGAGGCAGCAGCAGGGTGAGGGTGGATCCTCCAACGTGTTCTCCATGTTCGAGCAGAGCCAGATCCAGGAGTACAAGGAGGTAACCTTTTCCTCATCACACCTCAAGCTTTCTATCAGTACCTTCTAAGGTGGTGATGTAACTGAGCACTCTATCATGTGACCTTGAATGTAACGTGAGAGAGCTGTCAGAAGATATAGATCTCGTCACTTTAGCGGCACAACAGCAAAAAATGCCTTCATCAGCACGGCAGGACAGTAAATTTCAGCTCTCCTGTTGACAGCAGTTATCTCTGCTCTATGCTAGCTTAGGAATTCTCCTCGGAGACACTTGCTCCGTGACTCCACTGGAATGTGGCCCAACAGCTGGTGCACAGGGGAAGGGGAGCTCAGGGTTGAAACTGAAGGAATTTGGGGGGTTTTAGCACTGTGATCAACAAGGTAAATAGTGTCGTTATCAGTAGATTATAGAAATCAGGATTCATTTGTAGGGGTTTTCTTCAGTAACAGATCTAAATGAAAGACAATACAATGTCAACAGTAGCTTGGCAGGACCTTAAGAGGCCTCAGAAGCAGAGAGAACATTGGTAACATGGTCATAAGATTTAGTCACAAGGCAAAAGGATGACAGCTGCAATCAATACCTTCTCCTTAAATGTCGCAAAGGGCTTGTCTCACATTCCCAAGCCATTTTAACACCTTAGAAAGACAAGTGGCTGACCAGCTGCCAAGTCCCAAAAGGTTTGCAATGCCATCTTTGGTTTCATTGGGTGATACGCCCTCCTATGTGGAAGGAGAAGGAGCTAACTGCTCCACAGTTACACATTTACATTGGCAGAGTGCCTCGCACAAATAATCATGAAAAACAAGCTGGATAACAAGGACTTGTGAGAAATGTGAGAATCTCAGTTTTCACTGGTTTTAATTAAGTGTTATTTTAGCTGAAGTTTGGCTGAACTCTGATCTAATCTCTGACTAATCTCCCGGTCTGTGCCAGGCTTTCACAATCATCGACCAGAACAGAGATGGCATCATCAGCAAGGACGACCTCAGGGACGTGCTGGCCAGCATGGGTCAGCTGAATGTGAAGAATGAGGAGCTGGAGGCCATGGTGAAGGAGGCCAGCGGCCCCATCAACTTCACCGTGTTCCTGACAATGTTCGGCGAGAAGCTGAAGGGTGTGTTGGCACATATCAGTTGTCCTTTGTATTCTATTTCATGAAATACTTGGTGCTGTAAGGTGATGGTTGTTATTTATCTAAACACTTAATGTTATGTGATTAACATAATTCTGAATTATTATTTTTTTCTATGTCTTTGTTTTCATAGGTGCTGATCCTGAGGACGTCATCGTGAGCGCTTTCAAGGTCCTGGACCCCGAGGGCACTGGCAGCATCAAGAAGGAATTGTAAGCTTATTTGCGTTTATCTTCCATCTCTTCCTGCTGTAATCTTTCATCTTAATCTTAAATTTCCTGCGTTTTCCCTCTCCAGCCTCGAGGAGCTCTTGACCACCCAGTGCGACAGGTTCACCGCTGAGGAGGTGAGCTCATCGGACTTGCAGCGCGATTTGGCCCTTGTTTTTTGCCAGGCTGTAACGCATTTCTTCATTTCCTCTTCATCTGCAGATGAAGAACCTCTGGGCTGCCTTCCCCCCTGATGTGGCTGGCAACGTTGACTACAAGAACATCTGCTACGTCATCACACACGGAGAGGAGAAGGAGGAATAAATCCTCGACATCTCTTACCTCTGTTGAAACCCACACTTGTCCAGACCCTTAATTCTTCCTCCTCTCCACCAATCTCCTCATCCTCCTCGCACACACTCGCGCCCGGGTCGGCTCTTTCTTCTTACGAAAAGACTTGTCTCCTCTATCGAGATGTTCAGTGAGAGGACGGGAGGCTGTGGGGGTGTTTGTGTGTGAGTACCAACAGGGGAACATGGGATTATTTTCAATAAAAAATAATCTTGTGACACCGAAACGCTCTCTCTATCTCTGTCCCTGCCTCTTCTTCCTCCATCTTTTCCCTCCCCTCCTCGCCCATGACTCATTCTGTCCTCCTGCGTTGAGGCCAACAGTGCATGCATCATACCTACATATATATGCATATGCAGTTCAGTGTGGTTGGTCAAAATGTC